TTAGATGATATGGTTAGCAGAAAGAAATGGGTGAGTCCAAAAGTGATCAAAACTGTGTCATGAACATTCCAGGGCTTCATGGATTTGCAATCAGCCATGAGGTTGCTGATGCTGAACCCCTTTTTCAGGGAAGAAAACGGAGGAAACACTTCCACCGTCCGCGCAGATGGCGTCAGGCGACCGCACAGGAGAGGAGAGGCCCACGTCCCCGGCAGGGCGCCTCGAGCTCAAAGTTCAGAGAGACCATCATTTCCACTTTCCAAGCCTTTCTAATTCTGGTAAAGCCTCTGTCCAGAAGCTTTAATTCTAGTCTAGAAAGTGTTCTGAGAAATGGCCGCCTTCTGATGTTGCTCACATTTTCTTTTTCTTTTTTTTTTTTTTGTTGAGACAGAGTCGCTGGCAGTCTGCCGCCCAGGTGGAGCTGTAGTGACCGGATCTCGCTCACTGCCAAGCTGCTGTCACTCCGGGTTGCGCCTTCTCCTGCCTCAGCTTCCGCAGTAGCTGGGCATACAGGCGCCTCCCAACCATCGCCCGGCGTGTGTTTTGTATTTTCTTAGTAGAGACGGGGTTTCACCGTGAGTCCAGGATGTCGGTCTCGATCTCCTTGACCTGTGATCCCGCCCGTCTCCGGCTCCCAAGAGTGTGGAATTACAGGCTTGAGCGCACCGCGCCGCGGACTCTCAGCATTTTCTAACTTGTTGAAGGTTACGAAGAGAGACGCCTGACAGCCTGTGGAAACTGCTGGGGCCCCTGCGAGCATTGCCATCGAAGAGTAAAGATGTGCCGTCCTTCGCCGCGGTCTGCGTTTGTCTCCTGGCGCCACCAGCCCTTCCTGGCCGCCCGTCTCGGCCTCCCAAAGTGCTGGGATTACAGGCTTGAGCCACCGCGCCCGGCCTCTCACATTTTCTTAAACTTGTTAAGGTTACAAGGAACGCCTGACACCTGTGAAACTGCTGAGCCTGCCGAGCATTGCCAAGTACGAAGCAGAAGTGCTCCTTCGCCGGCTGCTCTCCTGGCCGGCCACCCGCCCCCTTCCTGGACTGTCATGCTACGGACTTCTGGGAGGGCAGGACGGAGCTCGCTCTCTCTGCACACATGTGTGTGGTACAGGGTTAGAAGACTCACAGTCACCTTTTCACAGAAACATAACTACAGTGTGTATGTTGTTCTACAGCTTTGTGGGGACACTTGACAGCTCACGAACCTGGATGCGAGGTAGATGGACAGTTGGCAATGGCAGTGCCAGTTTCCAGTCCTCCTGCTCCCGAATGGTTCTCTGCTGGTCACTTCCTAAGGCTCTGTGTATGTGTGTATATACTACACGGGCCTGTATGGATTAGAAATTGTATGTGTGTGGCAGGCAGCAGGCTCCCTCCCGCTGG